CTGTAAGTACGTTTTTTATATTTAAAGAATTTGCCACTGACGATTCAAACGCAAGTTTTGGGCAGTGTAGAGTAGCGTTTGTTAGTCATTTCTCTGATCACAAATGCAGACATGGTTTTATGTTTACGCGGCGCGATGCAACGCAACGCTTAAATAGAATAAGTCATTATATTTCGTAATTATGTCCCCACTGGATGCGACAAATGCCTCGTTTATAATGGGTTTTAATGTTTTTGTCTCGTCGCTCCATCACAATATGGTAAGGGACGTAACATTTCCGTCATACGCTTGAGGTGTTCAGCCAATCACAACGCACTGGATAGCTGGCCAATCACAGCACACCTCGCTTTTCAGACCGATGAGCTTTGTAAAGATCGACGCGTTTCAGAAAGACGGGGCATAGAGGAGAAACAATAATGTAAAGTATGTGGAAAATAATGTGTTTTTTAACTTTAAACCGCATAAACACATTTCATTACACCAAATACACAAAATAATGTTTTTTTTAGCAGCATCATATGACCCCTTTAAAAAATAAATAAATTAAAAAAAAACATTAAAGGGATAGTTCACCAAAAATAAATAAATAAATAAATAAACACATTCTGTCATCATTTACTCACCCTCATTTATTTTCAAACCTGAATGATTTACTTTCTTTTGCACAACATAAAAGAAGGTATTTTAAAGACTGTAACTAAGCCGTTTTGGTCACTAGTGACTTTCCTTGCATTAAAAAAAAAATACTGAGATGTTTCTCAAATGATCTTCTTTTATGTTCCATAGTCTATGTTAGGCCATTGTAGCCTGAACATTTAAAACAATAATAGATTTAAATTTTATTTTGGGGGGTATTTTCACAGCCATATTTAGTTTGCGATTAATTAATCGCAGCACAGTGTAATGAATTAAATTTTAACGACTGACAGCCCTAATTTAGACATTATAAAATCACTCTTTGTCAAATTTAAGACAATTTTGTACTGAAAAATAAATAAAAAACCTTTAGAGTCGGGCTAAAATCTGCCAAACAGGTATGTCAAAAGATTATAAACAATTTCTATTTAAAGTTAACTTTTTTTTCTTCAAGAAAATTGTAGCATATATTGTGTTAAATAAATGTTTGTCTCAGTTAATTTGGTTTTAAACCTGATTTTCTGCTCTGATTTTCAGCCCGCCTCTCGTGGATGATTGACAGCAGAGGGAACCAATCAGCACGTCTCCTGCGAAAGTGAAAGTAAAACGGAGCGCTGCAGAAAAGAATAGCAAACAACATCCAGACATCACACAGAGAAGCTACAGTCATATTATCATATCAGCTGTTTGCTTACAGATAACTGATCAATGTTGGACCAGAAAGGAACTTTAATACTTTTACAAATGAGCAGAGAGAGACAGTTTAATGACTTACAGGATCCACAGAGCACAGGCACAGCTTCTGCTCTCAGCAAATCACTTCCAGCAGCGGCTGCAGTTTGACCAGAGAATGAGAAGGGAGAAAATTAATCTGAGACCAGCCAAACTAAATTCACACAACACAGAAAGTAAACGATGAATGAGAAATTAGTATTGTAGTGTGATGGAAATATTTTTCTTCATTTTCTAATTATTGTTTATTCTCTATTTTCCTTATGTTCTATGTGCCCATTCACAGCTGAGGACCTCAAATGTTACAAAGGTTTGGAGGCCTATAAGCAGATGGTGTGTGGATGGGTGAGAGAGGCACAGCATCAGCTCATCAACGACATGTGTATTGTGAAGCCAATGTAGGTGATCCACTGCTCTATAGCCTGCTGCACCTGCTACCTGTTCTGTTAGTTTATTAAAGAAATAAATTAATGAGAGGCTAGTTTGTTATTCCTACAAGCTTATATTTAGTTGTCTTATCTTTTATGTAGGTACTTCATTCCCAGTGAATACGAGAAAAAAAAACCTGGAACCCTGGGTAATTGCTGAAAAGTCTGGGAGGATTCTTGGAGCTCACTGTACTTGTATGGCTGGCCTGGGGGAGACGTGCACACATGTTGCTGCTTTGTTGTTTCTGGTTGAAGCAACAGTGAAATTGAGGGACTCAAAGACAGGAAAAGGCATATTGGATGTTACCTACTGGAATGTCAAAGGAAGAGTACAAGGAATGTCGAGAGACATACATATAAATATTGATCAATTACCATAACAAAAATATTAATCTTAAACATTTGCTCATTCTGTGTATTTGTGTCTTGAAAATAGGGTAGCTTTGTTGCAAAAGCTTACAGCACAAGTTAGCTTGATTTCAAACTGAATTGAATTGACAAAAAAAGACAAGTACACAGTCAGTAATAACATTAAAAAACAAATGACCTCAATTCAGTTTGAGGTATTCAAAATATGACAACACTGAATTTTTGTAAGCAGTGATTTAAGAGCCATATGCAGTATGTTAGGCCTATTTATTTAGATAAATGGAACATCAGATGGCTTTGACCTGTAATGTCTGTACAATGTAGTGATGCAGTTAGGCAGACTATGATATTTATATCAGACTTATTCCATTCCGTAAAAATTCTAGCATAAACTTACATTCTAAAGAAATTTAAGTTCCATCTTTGATTGTTGAAAGTGCATTTCACTTACAGCCAGTAAAATTTCAAGTAGGATTTTCATCTGTCAGGCGTGGATCTATTCTAACTTTTGACAAAGTTTAATCCAGGAGCAAAGAGAAATAATTTCTACTTTAAAAGCATGGAGAGATCGCGATTGCCCACAGTCTGAATGCGCACAAGCTATATCGGAGTGAGAGGACAGGCAGTTCATTTGTATAAATTAGGCCGATTTGAGAGCTTGCGTCCAATTTTCTACGATTAAATGACTGTGTTCTCATGTTACAATAAAGTGCTCGCCACATTTGCGCGGGAATGATTAAAATTATGCGGAATACCTGCAATCCCGCGCAGATATTCAGACTGTAATTGACATGAGGCAGATGCGTTTCAAACTCACCGTCGGAGAGGAGAGAGAGATGCAGTTTGTATCGGTGTATATTCGGTAGATACAGTGGAAAATGAGTAATGGAACCGTGTCAGATATTTCAGTATCGATATCAAAATATAGATATTTATGATAACACTACCATGTGGTTTGTTTCTCCAAAACTATTAGTCCATAAATTACCCTGAGCTCCTTCACTGTCTGATCAGCTCTTCACCTGCTGCAGCGGCGGCTTTTTCCGGTTCAGATATCACATCAGGGCTTTTATTGGTCCCTTTACGATCGGATATCTTTATTGGCTACTGAAGTGCCATCAAAGGGTTAAATATCAATCCAAATTGTTTGCATACTCTGTAACGAACTATGATTTAAAAGTAACAAAGTAGATTATTGTGCTTAATTTGTACTTAAGTACAAGTAAAAGTACAGCTTTAAAAATATACTCAAAAAAGTACAAGTACCCGACAAAACTACTTAATTACAGTAACGTGAAGTTGTAATTCGTTACCTCCACCACTGGTTTTACTTTACTCTGCATTGTTTGTGAGTTAGTGTTACCTTATAGTTTAGTTATTTTAAGCCCATCTGTCAACGTTGAGATAATTGTGTGGTGCTTTCATCTCTTGTAGAGACATAACGATCCAGATGGCGACACATTACCTGAGCTGCAGCCGTGCAACAAGTGTTGCAGTAATTACCACTGCCCTTTTTGCTCAGCCAGGGTGCTTAAGCCAGCCAAGCTGGTCAAAGTAAAAACTCATCTTCAAAGCCACTTCAACAAGGCTTTTGTCTGTGGAGGTATGACTATCTTGAGTTGTTTGTTTAATATATGTACTCACAATATATTATTGCATAATATTTTACCAGTATACTTATTTATTTTAGGCTTTACTATACACAGATGTGGACTAGGATGTCGACCAGCACCGCATCACCACTGTCCATACTGTGAAACTGTTTTAAGGAGAAGTGATTTTGAGACACATGTACAGGTTTGCAAACAAAAACCTGAGAAAGATTTCAGAGAAGACAGTCCTGTTTATCCTCCAAATGATCCGGGGCTAAATAATATGGTATGTTACATTCTTCAGCACAAGAAGATACCTGTTGATCTACCAGATGATGTGCGGGTACCATCACCAAACAAAGATTACCCAAGAAGCCTTTGTCCAGATGGATGTATCTGTCAGATTTGTCCAGGTGTCGTCCCCCTCAGGGTTCGCACCCTAATTACAAAGAAGGCTAAAATACTCACAAACTGGTCCATAATTGAAGGTATGATTTGGTGTTATCTAATTGCGTGTGTGATATTCAGATAAATTGTTCTCTGATGTATTACTTGTCTAAATTTGAGATGTTGCCACTTATTGTAAGCAGTGCCCACTATGTGGAATGTTCTACCATTACCAGGAGTGGAAAGACCACCTACATAACTTCAATGACCACAACATCCTAGCCATACCCTTATGTCTAACCTTGAGAAGCCTTCTCCAGGTAACTTTTAACTTAACACTATGGTGTATGTTTTTATGTATGTTGCTTAAAACTTGAATGTTACTTCCAGGTGCATACATCTGTGAGCAGAGGTGTTGATTTTTTGGAAGATTTAACAGGATTGAAGTTTCCGCCAGCTGACACTATATGCTTCATGCGTATTTACACTTTGAGGCCCTTACAGCACATGAATACAGGTATTCATGTCTCACCTGTGATTATCCCCCAGTGGTGATAATGGATCTACACAAAAAGGGTGTTATCAATCATTTTTCTTTCCAACTTTTTTTAATGGATTTATGGTATTTTAAAATAGTTTTGCCTGAATTAGTCAAAGTTGAAGTAAAATGAATTTAATTTAGAGGTGGCAGGACTCCACACAAGCTAGAACTGCCAATGTGTGCCATTATTCTTCTACAGTATTATACTGAACTGACCGGCAACATCAGTGATTAAGAAAGGCTTTTGATGTGTGATTCAGTTGCAAATTAAAGTCATTTTGTGACTTTTCTTACATCATAAACAAAGTGCAAAACATTGACCAAATGTGATTTCTTGATGATTTTATATTTTTTAATAGCGAATTTATAATTTAAAAATATAAAGCAAAAAGTAAAAACGAATGAATAAGCTGATAAGTGCTCCTCTGCTGCCATCTACTGGTTATAGTGGTAATTTGATGTATTTATTAATTTTTTTAAATAATTGTTTGTTAACCACAAAATGTATTTGGTTATCATATTAAAAATAAAATTTAAACTGGATCATTTTTAGAGATTTAAAGTGCTGTTAATAGTTGTGTTGTCACTGAAAAGTGCTTGAATTTCTTTCTCAAAAGGTTGTACAAACCCTGAAATTAATGAGGTAATAACTATTTCTGCCACAACACCATGGTATACTGTAGTTAGCGTTACTTCTTCTGGTTTTCTACATCAGCGCTATTTGATGTTTATAAAAGAGAATTCTGTGCAGAATTTTAATTCTTTGCACTAAATCTCACAGCAACATTATTCATTCTGCAGTGAAACTAGATCTCGCAGCAGTGTGCAGTAACAGCATCGCGAGATCAGCATTGGTTCTGTTCTGAGCTCTGACCAGTTTGCATGTGTTTTCGCTGTGCTCAATTATTGGTATGAGCTGATAAGCAGCTCAAACGAGTAGTACTGTTTTGTTACACTTTTGTTTCGTTTGCTGTTTGAACTTTCTCATATGTAACAGAAATTGCAGCTCTTATTAGTTGGGCAAGGTGCGACTGCTGATTCACGAGTTCGCACTAACATATAATGTGATTGAGTACTTAGTAGCATATTTGGCGTGCTGTCCAGAGGGAGGGCTCCGAGCTCGGATTAAAGCCCGAACCCAGAGAACCCCCCCCCCATCCCAAGAATGGGATGAAATTAGATTATTAGTGAGGTGTTGGGGTGGAGGCGGGATGCTGGAAAACTGTCGTGGAACTGAGGTAAGTTGGCTATATATATATATATATATACATACATACATACATACATACACACACGTATTGTGCTTGTTAAGGTGATTAGCTGATGAGCTCCATCTGGGCCAGACTGATTGATTATCTGATCGGGCTCCTCCCGAACCTTGTTAATAAAACATAATTTCACGAGTTCGCACTAACATAATGTGATTGAGCAATTAGTAGCATATTTGGCGTGCTGTCCAGAGGGAGGGATCCGAGCTCGGGTTAAAGCCCGAACCCAGAGAACTCCCCAAAAGAAGCTAATGGCATGAGACAGCAGCCGGAGAGAAAACTGTAAGTAGCCCCCAAAAATATGCGTGCTGTCAAGAAAAGTAGGGTGTGCGAGGAGGCGGCAGGGCGACTGGGAGGGGTCGTGCAGTGCGTCAGATGGCAAGCTCTACCTGTCGCTGAATGAGGAGGACAATGGAAGGCCGGGTGAGGGACTCTCGCTGCATCCGAAGGGAGCTGCGGCTCTGCGGCACCAGAAGGGAGAGTCCCTCTTGCAGCTGAATACGTGGCGTGGTTTAAAGCGTCAGATGGAGGGCTCTCACTACGACCGAAGGGAGCTGCACCGGAACGATGCGGAAAAAGCAAATGGGGCTCAAAACGATGTATGGATGGCTCTCACTGCGACCGAAGGGAGTCGCGGCTCTGCTGCACCGGAAGGGGGAGCCCTGTCCGATGCTGAATAAGCCTTGAAACTCGAAACAGATGGAGGGCTCCTGCTGCGACCGAAGAGAGCTGTGGCTCTGCTGCACCAGAAGGGGGAGCCCTGTCCGATGCTGAATAAGCCTTGAAACTCGAAACAGATGGAGGGCTCCTGCTGCGACCGAAGAGAGCCGCGGCTCTGCTGCACCAGAAGGGAGAGCCCGGTCCAATGCTAAATAAGCCCTTAGGCTCGAAATGACGAATGGAAGCACTGCAGCAGCAGTATCAAATGAGCGGGGCACTGCGGCGGCAGTATCAAATTAAGCGGGGCACTGCCGCGGCAGTATCAAATGAAGCGGGCACTGCTGTGGCAGTATCAAATTAAGCAGGGCACTGCAGCGGCAGTATCAAATGGAGCGGGCACTGCTGTGACAGTATCAAATTAAGCAGGGCACTGCAGCGGTAGTATCGAATGGAGCGGGCACTGCTGTGACAGTATCAAATTAAGCAGGGCATTGCAGCGGCAGCATCAAATTAAATTTAACTGATCAGAATTAGATGGTCATCGGACGCCTTCAAGAGCTATAGCAAGACCAATAATTTTCACACAAAGAAAGCCCATCAAACGAGAGCTTGGCTGCTGTGAGAGGCCTTTTTGAGCTGCTGTAGTTACTGCCCCGATTTGGAAGGAGTGGCTGGAAATCTTTCTATGGGTATGACTGGTTGGACGATGTTTTTTGAACATCATTTGGATATATGTTTTTGAAACCAAAAACATGTGACGGAGTGGTTACAGTATGACTGGTTGGACGATGTTTTTTGAACATCATTTGGATATATGTTTTTGAAACCAAAAACATGTGACGGAGTGGTTACAGTCAGTCATCGACAAAAAGAGGGTCAAGAGGGGATGTAGACTGAGAGCTTCTGAATTATAGGTAAGAAAAACGGCCTGATACGGTTGGATTGGTGACGAAAGGTTAAAAATGTTGACGTGGTGACCTATTTTTTCTGATCTGATTTACTTTGTTTGATGAAATATGAGATAGTTTCGCTGTCGAGCACGGAAAGGTCGGAGATGGTTGGATGGAGTTTGGGGTTGAATATAAGTTATTGTTAATTCCAAGCTTCTCAGGAAACAAAAAAAAACCCAGTATGAATATTGCGAGTCTACGAGCGGTATGAAGTGAGTGGTACCTGTGCAGAGAATGTGGATACATTTAGAAAGAAATGTCGAAAGCTGTCAGCTGTCTAGCGTCCAGGCTTGGAGGGTGAGAGCGCTGAATTCCTTTGATGAAAAGAGATGTTTGAGAATTGTTTATTTCAGGAAAAAATTGGATGCCGCTTAGATAATCTTTGATTGAACGGGCTTGGAGGTTCTTACAGTTGTTAAAGTAGGAAACGAAAGATGTGATTGAGAGGAGGGAGAAATCTGGAAATGGCAGGTTGTACGAGAGGTGGAAAGCTTTAAATCATCTCCAAGCAGTTAAATAAGATTGGATGGTTCTGGGTGAAACTGCTTGGAGGATCGACCCGAGTAACGCATTGAGGTTTTAAGGGATGTGTTATGGGAATACGAGTTGCGAATAGTGAGGTACTGGGGTTAGCGATGGGTCCGCCTCCGGAGCCAGCGCTCTGAATTTCTGCGAGAATCTGAGACTTGATGGTATTAGGCACAGGGGGTAGTTCCTGAGCTGCAGCATTTGATGGGGTAGGTAGTGGGACTGCTGTTAATGAAGTGTACTGAGGTTTAGATTGGAGAGAAGGGTTAGAAGGAAGATAAGGAGGGGCCGTAACCTTTTGCGGAGGCAGCCTCACGCACAGATTAGCCTCTGGTGCTTAGGGAAGCATGTAGGAAAAGGTAGAAGGAAATGAGGGAGGAGTGGGGGCTGCTGGCCATTGATAGGAAAAAGGAGTAGTGGAAGGGTAACAGTAAGGTGGCTGAGCTTGAATGGCTAGCGGAGGCTGCCTCACGCTAACGTCTGCCGCCGGATATAGAAGGACGGGGGGGGAAGGATAGGAGTTTGGGAACCTATGCCAGCGGGCAACGTTGTTTGCGGCACTGTAGCTGAAGGCGCTGCGGTGATTGGTTAAGAAGAAGAGTGAGGCAATGCAGTGTGAGGAGCAGCCGAGTCTGCCCAGCCGAGTCTCGGCCCAGGCTTGCTGATGGCCTGCTGCGTCTTGAAGCTCGACGGGAGTCGGAACTTGATCTGGAAGTCAACGTGATTTTGAATAAAGTAGGGCGCTATGAGGTAGAGGTGCATGGACTGCAATTGTCAGCAGAGAGCCTGATGTTTAAATCGGCTTCCGAGTTAGTGTCTGCTATGGGAGCTGGAGGCCACTGAAAAGAAAATTAGAAACGGGAGGAAAAGCCTGAAATGTGTGGGCCTGGCAGCCTCACGGAGGCAGCCTCACGCTTCCTTCAGCTGCTGTAGGCCACGGGAAGGGAGTGGGGTTTATGACATCCTGTAGAGCCTGTGCAGCCTGCACCACTAGCAGAGGCAGCCTCATGCTAGTGTGTGCTATAGGAGTTGAAGGCCATGGAAAAGGAAAAAGGATTAGAAGTAACGGGAGGAAAGACTGAGATGTGAGTGCATGTGTTGCAAGTGTAAGCAGCTTTGCGCTTGTTTCAGCTTCTGTAGCTGTAGGCCACAGGGCTTGTGATATTCGGGGGGAAATGCTGGAGAGCCTGTGCAGTTTGCACAGCTTGGAGAGGCAGCCTCACGCTAGTGTGTGCTATAAAAGCTGGAGGCCACTGAAAAGGAAAATGATTAGAAGTAACAGGAGGAAAGACTGAGATGTGAGGGCATGTGTTGCAAGCGTAAGCAGCTTTGCACTTGTTTCAGATGCTGTAGCTGTAGGCCACGGGGGCGTGTGATATTCGGGGGAAAATGCTGGAGAGCCTGTGCAGCCTGCACAGCTTGCAGAGGCAGCCTCACGCTAGTGTGTGCTACGTGAGCTGGAGACCACTGAAAAGGAAGAGAGGTTAGAAGTAGCAGGAGAAATATGACGACTTTGACATCATAAAATGACAAAAAGACATGCTTTTCCTCTTAACCACACAATAAGTAGTAAGTATTGAAACAGCTAGCCAGCCAAGCAGCACATCAGCTGGTAGAGACTTGGAGAAAGGTGCCTAGCAGTATGCACAACGCATGCGAATTAGGTTGCTAGTTGTACTTGTTCAATAGTAATAATAATAAGAATAGTTTCTTTATGATACACCTTAGTTGTTATTTTGCACCTATAATTGTACACTTTGTTTTTTTTTCAGTTTTTTATGAAAATCTAATCATTTTCATTTTATCT